AATTATTTGTGACCTCGCGGTAGAAAAGAGACCAGATAGGGGGGGAATGAGTTATTCATACCACAGAAACAAGGTAATTAAACTGAACAAAATGACACTAAGATCTTTGAATTAGCTCAACTGGATCCAAAGTTATGATTTTTTATATTATAAAGTTTAAAAAATTCAATTGTTGGCAAATTCAATTTAAAGTTTTAATATAAATGTTATTTGTAATATTTTTTGGAAAAAGTTGATATGTTAACGTTAATATGACTAAAATAATCAATTCAGTTAATAGTCTGATAATCCATCTATCAAATAATGTGTAAGGTCAGGAGTATGGTCTTCATGATCATCCTGCTACTGGTAACATGTAACCCAGTGCAACCTTTTCCATGTTCAGCTGCCTTGCAGGATTTGCTTTCTAAGCAAAGGCTGGAAGGAGTGTGCTTCCTGTCATCAGTACTATTTTCAGTACTATCAGTCATGCCTATAGTAACATATATATATTTTTTTATATATAGTTGGAGGTGCCTTAGTTACTGTATTAGCTCACCTGTAATCTACTTTTTATGTATGTTTGTGTTCTGGCTGAACCTCTGGCGCGGTGTTCGCTCACCCGTAAGTTACTTTATGTTTTTTATGTACGTCTGTGTTCTGTCTGAACCTCTGATGCGGTGTTAGCTTACCCGTAAGTTACTTTATGATTTTTATGTTTTTCTATGTATGTTTGTGTTCTGTCTGAACCTCTGGCGCGGTGTTCGCTCACCCGTAAGTTACTTTATGTTTTTTAAGTATGTTTATGTTCTGTCTGAAGCTCTGGCGCGGTGTTGACTCACCCGTAAGTTGATTTATGCTTATTTGTGTTCTGTTTATTCTCTGATGCAGCGTGAGCTCAGTAACTAGCTACTTACTCCTAATTTTTCCTAATGCACTTCCAAAATGTCATGCCTGGTTTTCTCAAAGTACTGTTGTGGGAAGTAACTCCTTTTAACTACTCCAGGTCAGGTCAGGATAATCAAGATCAATCTTGCTACTGGTATCACGTAACCCAGAACCACCTGCCACAAGCCCTGCTGCCTTGCAGAGTGTGCTCTTTTTAGGCAAAGGCTAGGAGAAATAAACTCTGACTAAAAATTTCCCTGCCTTGGGGCTCTTGGTTGAGTAAAGGCTAGAGATGGTGTCTCGATAAAAAAACTCATCTTGGGCAGATGTTAAGTGCATCCAGCTACTGTCTTGTAGAAGGCCTCCAAGGCAAAGACTTTAGGGGTAAGTAGAAAAATTCTGCTAAGCAGCCTCGAACCCCTTCTTCATCTATTAGGCTGGCGTAGATGTAACCTGTGTTACATTGTTTCCTACCTAGGATGATGAATGCTGGATCTCCTTGACTCTACTCATAGAATTTTGCTTATGCCTTCTTGATAATGGCTATGCAACTCTTCCTGTTATCTCCATATGAGGGTACAGCTCTAAAACTCAGTTTAATGGTTCTGAGGCCGGCTGGTAGTAAGGTTTCTCTCTGTGGTAGCTCTCAGAGAAGCTGATTCCATCAACAGCTGCAAAATATTAGAGTATTAACAGTGCCATGTTGCGCATGGATGGTGTCCCTGTTAATGCTTTTGGTGTGCATTGTCAAAGCCACATAAGGAGCCCTATGTCACGGCTTAGGGTTAATTAACAGGACATAGCTCATTGATTAGGAGGCTGTGCTCTATCTATGAATGAGTCAAGTTCTCATTAAACCCAAATCATGACCAAAGTAACCAAAAATTTAAAACCTAAAAAACCATCCCCACCACCTAAATGTTTTAATATATCTTTTACAAATATTTGCGGTCTGTGAAGCAACTTTCCGTCAGTTGAGTCTTACCTCCTGCACCAGACTTGCTTGCACTCAGTGAAACAAATTTAAATTCTGCAGTTCCTTCATCAGATGTCAGTGTTGATGGGTACTATCCTTTGATTCGTAAAGACTCCAATAGTCACGTGCTAGGTTTAGGGGTATACATATGCATTAATTCCCCTATTTGTTGCAAAATCAGGTTCGAATCCTTTGACCATTCTTTTATGTGCTTTCGCCTAGCACCTCTTCACTCTATCACCTTTCTCTTTGTTCTTTATCGCCTTCCTTCTTTCTATGATTGCACTCTTTTAGATGTTATCAAATTGACCATGCCCTCTCTCTTTACCCCTCTGCCAATATTGTTGTTGTTGGTGATTTTAATGCCCATCACACTGAATGGCTTGGCTCTAACACCACTGATCCTGCTGGCACTAAAACCTTTAACTTCTGCATTTCTCAATCTCTTACTCAGATAGTTAACTTTGTGACTCGTTTTCCTGACAACCCTAATCATTTACCTTCACTCCTTGACTTATGTCTTGTCTCTGACCCTAGCTTATGTTTAGTTTCTCCCTTTTCTCCCTTAGGTGGTTCCGACCATGCAATGATCTCTATAAATCTTTCTTCTCGTACTTCTTTTTTGGGCTCACCTTATCATCGCACCACCTAGTACGACCCTAAATCTGACTGGGATTCTTTTTGTGATTTTCTTTGTGATGGTCCTTGGACTGATGTTTTTTCTCTCTCAGCTGATAAATGCGTAACCTCCTGGATTCAGGCTGGAATGGAAGCTTTTATTCCTTCTCATCGGTTTCAAGTCAAGCCTCATTCTACTCCATGGTTTTCTCCTTCTTGTGCAACTGCTATATCCAATCATAATCATTTTTTTCATCTTTTTCAGAAGAACAACTCTCTTGAGAACAAACAGCTATTTATTATTGCAAGAAATCGATGTAAAAAGGTGCTTTCTGATGCTAAACTCCATTATTCTCAGTTCACTAAATCTCGCATCTTATCACAGAAGTTAGGCTCTAAAGACTTTTGGAAAATCTTCAACAGTATTGTTAACAAGGGTAGATCTAACATTCCATCTCTCATTCATGGGACTTATCTTATTACCTCTCCCAAGGATAAGGCAGAACTATTTGCAAAGAACTTTTCTTCTAATTCCACTCTTGAATCTTATGGACATTCTCTTCCTTCCATTCCAGTCAAACAGGTTGACCTATTGTTAGACATTCAAATCACTCCGGCTTCTGTTGCTAAAGTCATATCTCAATTAAACTCTTCTACAGCTTGTGGTCTAGACAACATTCCTGTCACAGTCTTTCAGAATTGTTCTCCAGAACTTTTTTCAATTCTCTCTATTAACTATTTAACAAGTGTTTGACTGAGTCTTGTTTTCCTGCTTGTTGGAAAATGGCATCTGTGGTTCCAATATTCAAAAACTCTGGAGAAAATTCTGATCCCTCTAATTATCATCCGATCAGTCTTCTTTCTGTTATTAGCAAGTTCTTTGAGTCTTTAATCAACAAATTCCTCACATCTCATCTTGAGTCAAATAAACTACTGTCAGACAATCAATACGGTTTTCGATCCTCTCGCTTTACGGCCGACTTGCTAACTGCTGTCTCTGAAAGATTTTATTGTGCATTAGATGGAGGCGGTGAAGCTAGGGCTCACCACCTCTATCTAATGCTCAGATGGAGGTGGTGCTCAGATGGAGGCATCTAATGCACAGATGGAGGTGGAGAAGACCAGCATGCCAAACAAAGTTTGGCATGCTGGTCTTCTCCATAAGCTTGCTTCGTATGGTGTTTCTGGGAAAGTTTTTGAGATTATCAAATCATTTCTTTCTAACCGGTTTATTAAAGTCATCCTTGAAGGCCAACACTTTTCTTTATTTCCAGTAACTTCTGGGGTTCCCCAAGGTTCTGTCCTGGGCCCTGTTTTGTTTCTTATCTACATAAACGATCTTCCTGACAACCTTTCATCTAAAGTAGCTCTTTTTGCTGATGACTCAACTTTATACTCCTGTCTTGACAAAAAATCTTCTCTTTTCGATCGCCTAGAACAAGCAGCTGATCTTGAATCCGATCTTACTTCAGTGGCACAGTGGCTTGTGAATTTCAACTCTAACAAAACCCAGTTGTTTACTGCAAACAACTAACGTAATATGGTCAACATTCCTATATTAATGAATGGCAATCCTCTTACTGAGTCGTCCTCTTTACGTCTTCTTGGATTATCGCTTATTTCTGACCATTCATGGAAACCATATATACAATCGATTGCTAAATTAGCTTCTGCTAAGATTGCTTCTCTTTATCGTGCTCGCCATTTCCTTACTTCTGATTCCATTCTCTACCTCTACAAATCTCTTATTCGTCCCTGTATGGAATACTGTTGTCATATTTGGGCTGGTTCTTCTAATGATTCACTTTCTCTTTTTGACAAGGTCCAAAAACGCATTGTAACTATTGTTGGACCTGGACTATCTGCTAAGCTTGAGCCTCTTTCCCATCGTTGTAAAGTTGCATCTCTTTCTCTTTTCTACAAATACTATCATGGTCACTGCTCAAAGGAGTTATCATCTCTAGTTCCATCAACTAAAATTCATTCTTGTTTTACTCGTCATTCAGCTAAGTCTCATTCGTTTACTGTATCTGTCCCTGCATGCTCTAAAAACTTTTATTCATCTAGTTTTTTCCCCCGCACTTCAATCCTTTGGAACTCTCTCCCATCTTCATGTTTTCCTGACTCATACAACCTTCAACTTTTCAAGTTTTCTGTCAACCATTTTGTTGCTCTATAACTCTGTTCTTTTCTTTTCCTAAAAACTCCCAACTTGATAGTGGTTGCTTGCAGCCTTGTTGGGAGTAAATGCAAATAAAAAAAAAAAAAAAAAAAAAAAATTAAAATAAAAACAGAAAACTTGAAAACCACAGGTCACAGTGTTTAAACGTGATTTTCTGAGAAACTAGATGTGGTCCCTTTTCTGCCATGTGGTCTCTTTTCTGCCATGAGGTCACATTTGGCCTAGATAATTTAGTTTAATTTGGGTAATTTTGTGTTAGATAACAATAATGGTAATGGAGATAACAGTAATGGTAGTGGAGATAATAGCACAAGTAGCAACTTTAAATAATATCATATCAAAGAATATAAAACTTACAAATAATGATACCAAAGCAAGGTTCATAATGGCCATCTTTTAGAATTTTCTGGTATTCCAGTTGACTATTGATATCACAAATAGAAGGATCAGGTTGGAAAAAAGGATGACTGTGATACCATCCTAATAAAACTAATCCTTTTAACTTTATTGTATCTCGAATCTAATAAAAGGTAAATAACATTATTCATTTTTATAAAATTATAAAATTCATTCATTGAATGTCATTAAAGGGACCACCAAGTCCCGAGACATGTTGTGTTTATATTAAAGAGAATGTTAAAAAAAAACATCTGAGCATATTTTTTTTGATTAAAACTAATTAATAAATATATACCAAGAAAAACAAATCTTATTGTTTTAGTCGAAGCTTATCTTCTCCATTTTCTGCGGTATTTGGAGTCTTAATAATAAACGCGATTTTCCAGACTTGATAATTTATTCAAGTGCGTTTAATTCATAGAAGTTTTAGTACATGACGTCATAGATTTTTTTGTTTTGTTTGTTTAAAACACCGATTATTATTTTTTACATACAATTTCCAAATCATATTCATTTTTATTATATTTTAAAGTTCTAAAATGTGTTTGTAAAAAAATTAAAAACAAAATAGTATTTTATTTTAATTATTCACGATTTGTTGCATTTTAAGATTTCTAGAAATTGTTTTATCTGCAAAACATAAATTATTTAAACTTTTATCATTAGTTCACAAAAATAAATGTTTTATAATACATATTTTTTAAATTGTCAAAATTTTGAAAGTTAATTACAAATTATATATTTTATTAGTATAATCTTTTTTTTTATATCCCTTCCTAGTGCTTGATTTAATTAATTGTTTATTAGATTTGTCAAAACAACTTGCATCAAAATGTAAAGAACACACTTGTGAATCATCAGAGATATTATATAACCCAATTTGGCGCCATTGGGGTCCCTCTACCATCACCGTGGCCCACTGTGGCCCACGGCTCTGATAGCTACAAAAAAACAAAATATTTTTCAATGTGAAGATTTTAGAAAATAAAATAACAAACTATAGTTAACTATTTTAGTAAAATTTAATAGTAATATTTTTAAAGAATTTCTAGAATGTTTCCAATGACGTCATATACTAAAACTTCTATGAATTAAACGCACTTGAATAAATTATCAAGTCTGTAAAATGCGCCTGGAAAATTGTGTTTATTTTAAAGACTCAAAATACTGCAGAAAATGGAGAAGACAAGACTAAAACAACAAGATTTGTTTTTCTTGGTATACATTTATTAATCAATTTTAATCAAAAAAATTTGCTCAGATGTTTTTTTTAAACATTCTCTTTAATATGAACACAACATGTCTCGGGACTTGGTGGTCCCTTTAATGATGTCATCAATGTGTGAATTAAAATGTTCGAAATAAAATTATAAAAGTTCATAAAATTATAAAAGTTTATAAAATTATAAAAGTTCATAAAATTCATATTAAATTATAAGTTCTTAAAATGATTAAGTAAAAAAATTTTAACCTTTGACTCTACTTTTTCAATTTCATCTGAATTCGATAATGACGAATAGTAACAAGGATAAATATCAGTAACACGAACGTCTAGAGAAAGCAACTTTAACTTTAGATTTTGTAGTAATTTTTCATTTTCAATTTTTAGAATTATTAGATAACTAGTACTTCTAGGTATTTTTAGTTTAGGTGCTATACAATAATGGAAAGTAAAATTTTTCCCTCAAATTCTTAATAAGATTTTAATTTTAATTAACAAAACTCTTCTGATAATAAATGTCTGTGTGGGTGTATATATATGTTTAGAAAAGGTACCCATCAATTGATCTGGTTGTTCTGGTACAGAATATTCTGTAAATTATTTTTCACCAAGGGGCTTGATGTTAGTGACCAATTGAATAACGTTTGCATTTATTATTATGTTTTAAATGCTTATTAAAATAAACTAATTTTGTATAGCATAAACTAATTTTGATTAGCAAATTTCATGATAAAATTACACTATCACACAAATTACACTAATTTTGATAAGCAAATTACATGATATCTTTACATGTTAAACAATTAAACTACCGACAAACTTGCTGCTAACTATTGGAAATATTTCAATAAATAGCAGCTGGTTTATTCAAGATAAATCTAGTTTCTAAAATCTCCCAAGTACAACAAATTTTTTTTTTATATAAATTTATAAATAATAAAAATTGATAAAAGTGTTATTAACAACATTTTATGAAATATTTGATACAACCTACCAAAATACTTTTAATACAACCCACCAAAATATTTGATATAACCCATCAAATATTTGATACAACCCACCAAAATATTTGATGATTAATAAATTTTAATGATAAATAAATTCTTTATTTTAACTTTTGATAAGATTTTTTTCTGTTAAGTTGGTGGTAGCTTACCCTCAGAAGTTGGTGGTAGCTTGCCCTCAGAATCATAAAAAAAGATAAGAAATAAGAATTTTTTTAATATAAGAGATAAGAGTTTTTTTAATGAATAGAGATGTGTTACTTTTGTTGTAGTGTTTGGAATGTTTTGAGACTTAATCATGAGTGGGTCCAGTTTTACGGATAAGATACTAAAGCTTCATAATTAGAATACAAAGCTGCATTGTCTTAAATTATTGAACTAAAATTTCAGTTTGTGGATTTTGTTTCCGTTAACCTAGAGCTTGTTATGAGGTTAGGCTCAGTAAATTTAAAAAATATTACCATAAAAACAGATTATAAAATTTGTATAAAATTTGAACAAGCAGAAGCAATATTATTAATAGATATCAAATGAATAATAGATAAAATTTAAATAAATTACAATAGTGATAATATCTTACTCTTCAGGTTTTACCTTCTTACCCTGAGAATAATAGATAAGATCAACAAAAGTATGATCAAGGAAAAAAAAGATAATTGAGAAAACAGCCTTCTTGCTTTCATAAGAATATTTTTTGCATCATGTATAAATATCAAAACATTATAACAAAATAAAAAAAATTTAAGAACTTTCTTTTTTGTTGTTGTTGTTGATAATTCACCACCTCAAGGCCAAAAAGGTCACTATAGACAAAGAGGTTACTTAATTGTGGTTATTACCCTTTCTCAACTCTATAACTTCTTAACATGAACCTAATGAACGCTGCTGTACAGAGAAACAAGTTGAGGGCGAATGCCAAAAAATCTAATAGCAAAAATTTTTTTTGCTATTAGATTTTTTGGCATTAGAGTCCTGACATTTTAAAGTACAGAAGAAAATAATTTATTCAGCAAGTTATGTAATTTTAAAAAAAAATTCAGCAAGTTATGTGATTTTAAAAATCAAAACATTTATAACAAAATTAAATATAGCATATTTGGCATTTTATATTATTTAAAATAATAAATAAAGAATATACTCACTTAAATTTAAATTTTTTATAGAAATATATACTTATGATATTTTTTTTTTTTTTAATAAATAAAAAAATAATTGATTTACAAATATACATTTTATGATATATAAAGTTTTTGTAAAATGCACATTTTATAAAATTTTAAAAAAAGGGTCTTTTTCATTTTTTGGTACATTTATTAATGATACATTGGTATTATAATTGCTTGAATTGTTCAATTGGTATCAAATAATCATACTTTTTACACCAGAAAAATTGTTTGATTGTGTGGATGTAAACATTTTTTTTTAATATCTTTCTTTTCTTAATCTTTTTTCTTCAACAACTACAATCAAAACAAGTCACAAATACATTTTTGTACTAGTATATTAGGTCAAACTTTAATTTGTATTGTTGCAGTTGTTCTTAAATGACAACAAAACAGCATCAATTCTTTGAGTTCCTTGTATTGTTCTTCCTTGCTCAAATTTTTTATTTGTGTAGTTCTAACATAAGCCATACATTCTTTCTCAATTATAAAGAACTTACATTTTTGATTTTTTGGGAGCATTAACTGTTAGTATTGGATTTTCCTTTGAGTATTTTAAACTTGGTGTTATTCATTATAATGTGCCACTAGAAGATTTGCCATGAGTGCTTGCAAAAAAAATACATTTAGCACCCAATAAATTTTTTTTTGAATAATGGTATCTATAAATCATACTTTACAACCACCTAAAAGATACACTTATAATAATTATATTATAAGTATTTACTATTAAAAAAATAACAATATCAAATTTAATTTCCAGAAAAACTGATGTAATATAAAAATCTTCTTTTAGATTCCCCAACTTCATTCCGAACTTTCCCAATTCCCCAACTTCAGTCATTTCTATTAAATATTTACAAGTTATATTCCATTTTATTCCATGTATGAGAACTGTTATTTGATTGTAAACGCAGACCGAGTGAGCACCTGATAAATATTTTGATAAATCTACCAAAAAGCAAAAACAAATGTTTAAGATGTCTATACTGCATACTTTTACATATTTATATATACTTATGATTTATTTACTTTGTACTCTCTTATCATAGATCATCAAGGTCGTATTTTGAAAATCTGGAAAATTGTTTAATTAATCCAAACAAAAATCCATAATATATTTTCCCATTAACTTTGCTTTTAGCTGAGTTGTTTCCATTTTTTTTCAAACTTTTCATAATTTTTGTATAAGTGATGAGTGAAAAAAACTTGAAAAACAAATATATTACAAAATATATACCTATGTATCTATGGAAATATATACTTGTTTCTATGGAAAATGTTTTAAATATCCAGAAAAACTAAAAATTGAAAAAAATATTAGAAATTCTGAAATATCCGGAAAAAGATAATACCTGCTTATGCACTTTACAAACATTTAAAAAAAAAACTTTTTCCAAAGTAATGGAAATAGTGATTGAAAATGGTGAAAAAGCTAATGAAAATGGTGATTGCGATTCTTCACAAGCATGCAACTCAGATGTCCATAAAATGTTTTGATGAGTATTAGTGTCTAGGTCAAATAACAATCAAATTTTTTTTATGGCATTCTGACATTTGTAATATACTTAAAAACAGGTTTCATTTCAAAGTATATTATAAAAATTTGCATATGCAGAAATATTAATTATATAACTTAATTATGCTTTAACTGCAACATTAATTATTTGAATTGAAACAGACAATTAATTCAGTCTGATTTTAAAAATGAAACTTTGAGAAAAAAAGGCAGACAAATGCATACACCTATGCATTAGTTTTCTTGTTTGTTGTTTTTCATTTCCTAAAACTCTATTGTTGGAATCGGACTTTGGTTTCTAACAGTTCAACAGATTATATAAAACAGTCTGTTATATAACTGTTATATAAAACAGTCTGTTTAAATTGAATGTAGAAAAATGTGAGACATTTATTAATGTAAAAAAATGCAAGACATTCATTTATGTAGAAAAATATAAGACATTTATTAATGTAGAAAAATTCATTTGTAATAAGTAAACTAATAAACTTTATTGGGTTAATTTTCTCAATTCCAAAAAAAAATTTAAATTCAAATTAAAAAAATTTAAGTACTCTTAATCATTTTGCTCGGACAGATTATTTGAATACCCTAACCCTCGGACAGATTATTTGAATAATCTATTTATCCTAACCCTATATTAACCATTATTTGAATATTTAAAATTATTTGAATACTTAAAATTAATTCCTAGCTACTTTATAACTAAAATATGAGCTTTTAACTATGCAGTAATGAGCAAATTTAAAAATGATGGAAATTGTATAAAACAATAATATTAGCCAAAATTAATACAATCATTTAAGTTATGTTGGAGTTATAACTGTGAAACTGTGGAGATTATCACCCTTTATAAAGTATCTTTGTGAAAAATATAGTGACTATGGTAAAAATATAATGAATATGTATAAATAGTTTTTTAAATAAAAATTAAAGTAACAAAACATATTTTTGGTGAAAATCAATTCTTGAATAATGAAAGTCACACAAAATAAAAATTTATTAAAAACTGTAAATATATATATAAAGAAAAAACAGAAATTTACTTAAATGGAAGTTTATTTACAACTAAATTTAGTACTGGAACCTCAATTAGTTAATCTAAGATTAAAGTGACCAAGATCTATTTAATTGAGAACTAAAATAAGAAATAGCTCTATAGTTTTATGTGATCCAGGTAATTATCCAGTTTGATAAGTATTAGTGAATATAGCTCTATAGTTTTATGTAATCCAGGTAATTATCTAGTTTGATGAGTATTAGTGAATATAGCTCTATAGTTTTATGTGATACATTTTTAATACATTTTTAGTCCTTTGATTTTTCATTAGTTTAAACAACCTATTCCAAGTTTGACTTCTTTATTAACCTGTAATTTATCTTATCTTATACAAATGGATCTACACTTGTAATCAAAAAAGTGAAATAATGGGCAACAATGTCTGTACAATGTTTTATGTGATTTCAGATGCTTGAGTTTAGGCTACAAGTACATGTGATAATTTTTGTAAATATTACTTTTCTTTCAACTGATTACTATTTATTTATTTTTTTTTTTTTCTATGATACAATGATACCTAAGAAGTTTATTATCATTCCCAACATCGTCAACCGTAATAATGCCAAGTTTAACAATGTAAGGTTAAATACTAAAAAAAAAACCACTTAATTTTCAAAAGGTGAAAGGAAGGGGGGAAATAGCTTGATTGGAAATTCAATTATACCAAGAATATATCAAGTTATTTAACAGATAGAAAAAAGAAAAAAAGTAATTAAATCTGAAAAACATTAGGCATTTGTGTTTTTTATGTTATAATTTATAAGTGCATGTATAGCAAAAAGACAATTTTTTAACTTTTCTTAAATTAAATACTTTCAATAATATTCTTATTCTTGTCTTTAAATTTTAACCAATAAGTTTTGTAATATAAGCTTATTTTATGAAATACTTTGGTTGGCTAAAAAAATATACTAAAAATATAAATTTTTTTACACAGTTTAAAAAAATAAAAAAATGTATAAACTAATATTTAATTAAATGCTCTTTGTTTTTAAGCATCAAATAACACACTCTGGAATAGAATCAATTAACTTTGACATAGTTCAAATTGCTAATTGTGTATAGTACATGTTTCACTCACTGTTTAAAAACCATCCACAAATTCTTTATTGAATTTAAGTCTGGTAAAATCCTACCTCATTACAGCAACTTGATCTTTTTCACCCTCACACTATCAACTTTTGGCTTCACAGTAAATATTGTGTAACAAAGATCATATTGTTTTCCTACAGGACAGCAAACATACCAAAAAAATACCAAAAAAACAGCAATGATACCAAAAAAGTACCAAATAACTCCACTTTACTCCACTGTCTAGAATTCCAGCTTTTGTATTTCTTAAAAATTCTTTTTGCATGCTGCTTGTCATTTAATAATGGTTTCTTGGCTGAGACAAAAAAAGTCTTATTATTCTTTCATCTATGTAATATGGTAGCTGTTTTATATTTCTGATAGCTGATGAAGATGGTAAATGGTAACTGCTTCATATTTCTGCTGATAATGCTAAAGGATTTTTTTGTTACATGTCTTTTCATACATAAATCATCAAGCTTTGTAGTAATTCTTAAACTTCCAGATGATTTTTAGTAGTAAAAAGATTAGTTCTTTTCCAATGTTTGATAATAATGTTGACAGTTGACTTTAAAACTTTCATTTTTTATTTTTACTTCTCTGCCAAAAAAAACCTACACTATGATAAAGCACAATTATTGTAGGTTGATTAGTTAAAAGAGGTGTCTTCCCCATTCTGGATTGTAACAAAGTAATAAACATTAAAAACTCAATAATAAACTATAAAAAAATATTGCACCTAAAAAACTTAACAAATACTATAAAAAAAAATATTGCAACTAAAAAACTTCAACAAACTACTAGTAAAATAAAGCAACTTTGTATTATCACTCAATTAGCCTCATAGCAACAGCTATGCTAAAGACATAACTATTAACCTAGATCAATATAAAGAGACAAAATATTGGGAAAAATCTAGGTAACCCAAGTATTTAATGATTACTAAATGGATACGATTTTAACTTTTTATTTTGGCCTGTACCTACTGACTTTAAAATAATTTATTTTTAGTATTTTAAAGATTTCTAAACAAAACAATCAAACATTCAGAGATATATAATGAAATATTTATATATAGGAAAAATTCAATTACGTTGTCGTGAAATATTCCACTCGCCAGCAATATATCCACTGACTTCACTAAGCGACAAATGGCAATGAAAATCCTATAAGTAAAAATGAAAAAAAAAATCAATTTATGAAGCTCTAAATAAACATTAAAAATTGCAATAGAATGAGTTGACATAACAAAAACATAGAATTAAAAAGTACACAAATTAAAATAAAACACAAGGCAAAATAAAATACACAAACAAGAATAAAACAAAAGATTTGACAACTAAACTAGTTGTCGTGTCAGATGCAGAGTCATTATGATCACCCGTCTACTAAAAACATGTAATCTTGTGCAGGCTATTTCTTGTCCTGCTGCCTTGTAAAATTTGCTTTCTAAGCAAAGACTGAAAGAAGTGTAGTTCGGTCTAAAAGTCCTCACTACCTTAAGAAGACCTTTTTTTTTTAGAACACAAATTTTAAAGATTTATATATAAATATAACTCGTTCTAGTATTTTACATTTTTCTAAATAAAAATGTAAATAATTAACCAAAATGATGCCAACATCGATTGGCCACTAATTTTATATATATATATATGTGTATATATATATATATAAATATATATATATATATATATATATATATATATACATATATATATATATATATATATATATATATATATATATATATATATATATATATATATATATATATATATATATATATATATATATATATATATATATATATATAGTATATATATATATATATATATATATAATATATATATCAGGGCTCGAATTAAGCGTATCGCTATCGCGATTCGCGATTACTTTTCGCACCTTCGCAATTAGTTTTTTCTTAAAATTTGTTTTTCGCGACCTTTCTTTTTTTTGCAATGATTCTTTTATCATTTTAGAAAAATCTAATTTTAGATAATTAATATTAATCGCGAATATTTAGCGTTCTTTTACAGTATAAAACTGCAGTGACTTTAGTAACAATAAATTTTTTTAAAAGCTGAGCATAGAGTAAAAGAAAGAAAAATAAAATATTTAGAAAATCAATTAGCAAAAATGTATTAGTAAAAATGTAAAAAAATACCTTTTCGAATCAAGTAATAAAAGATTTTGATTAAAAAAAGTAATAAAAGTTAATTGATTGAAAAGTCACTTTCTTAACTCAAATTCTCAAGGGCTTTATTCTGATTTTGCTCATTCATTATGAACAAATTTAATGATATTTTTATAAGTTTAATTTGCGAAGAATTGTGGAAGGCAATACAGACTCTAAACTAGTTATTAAAAAAAAATTCTCTAAAGTTTGTTAGTATACTTGCTAACTTTAAATTAATAGCAATAAATGGATGCAAATAAGGACCACAGACGCAGATTATCTACAGTTAAAAAGTGGGAAAAACTTTTGAATTGCGAGTTAGAATACGATTTAAATGGAGATAAAGTTATAAGATTAAGATGCAGTTTATGTAAAAAATTTGAAAAACGGATAAGTCAAACAAAATTGTTTTCTATGACCTGGATCAAACCAGGAACAATATCAATAAAAAATCACTAACTGGCAGCGCACTTAAGTAATGCGCAACATAAAGAGGCCACGCGAATTCATCAACAAACAACATTAGGTTTAGTTTCATTATTTAACCATGTTATTCATAATACTCCTATCGGGCGTGGTTTACGTAAAATGGCCGTAAAAGATGCCGACAGAAAAAGTTTAATATTGCATATTACTTGGCAAAATGAGAGCGTCCATTCACAGATTATCCTTATTTGATTGCATTAGAAAAGACTAATGGGGTTACAAATTTAGGAAATTCTTATGGCATTGACCGTGCAGCTGCAATATTTACAGATTACATTGGCACTGTAATTGAAAACAAATTAACTGAATGTTTAAAAAATTGTAGATTTTACTGTGTTCTCTGTGATGGAAGCACAGATTCAGCTGTATCGGAACAGGAATTGATTTACATTCTTTATTTAAAAGACGGAAGTCCGAAAGTAGAATTCTTATCTATTGAAACGGCAGAGAATTCTAATGCTGTTGGCCTGAAAAAATTTATAACAGACGCTTTTACAAGAGTTGGCATTACCAGTTCTTATAAACATCTATTGGGTGTAAATCTTGATGGAGCTAACGTTAATCTAGGAGCTTATGCTGGTTTAGGCGCATTACTAAAGGAAAGTTCTCCTTGGCTGGAAGTTGTACACTGTTTTAACCATCAACTTGAACTTGCTTTAAAAGATGCGTTTGAAAGTTTATCTGCCTTCAAAACTGTTGACAAACTCCTTTTACAACTTTATTACTTGTATCAAAAGCCACCAAAGCGCTCCCGAGAACTACAAGGATTAGCCGAAGCTTGGGGTAATAGCGTTCCGAAACCAACAAATGCATGCAGAACTCGGTGGATTGATCACAAGTATAAAGCAATGAAAATTGCTATAGAAAATTATGATGTGTTTATGACACATATTGAATCATTGGCTATAAGAGAAAATTGCTATAGAAAATTATGGTGTGTTTATGACACATATTGAATCATTGGCTATAACAGACTCCCAGATAGCAAAGAGAGCAGAGTTAAAAGGTTTTTAAAGCGATGGAAAAATGCGTCTGTGCCTATTAATTTATCAATATATCTTGATGTTTTATCTCCCCTTCGGCGTTTGAGTTTAAGTTTTCAGAACAGTATTCATGATCAAGTAAAAGCTGTAAGAAGAGTCCAAGAATTTACATGGACAATGGCCAAGCTGCAAATTCTTATAGAAAATTCGCTAGACAATTTTCTTGATGATACAAGTGTTATGACCCATTATAAAAGACTGTCTAAATATATTGAGACAATTGATCAATATTCCACTTTCTCAATATACCGAAGTTAATAGCCATGTTCTTGACCAGTACAAACTAATTATTGCAAATATTACCATATGTATGGAAGGCCGTTTTCAATCTCTCCAAAAATCACCATTGTTTATGCATTTGGTAGCTTTACTTGACGTTTATAACTGGCTGTTAAATGTGAATGAAGGTACTTTTGGCGATAAAGCTATCGGTGAAGTTGAACATTTTTCTGAATTTTTAATTGGTGTAGGATGTGATTTGAATAATATACTTCATGAGTGGATCATTTTAAAAGCATACATGTTTCCCATCATAAGTAACAATCAAAATGAGTATTATTTGAAAATTTGGGAAATTGTTTTTTCCAAATCAAGTTTGGTCAAAGAATGCCGAAATATTCTTGATATTTTTGAACTATTTTTAATTTGTCCTTTTACAAATGCGAAGGTAGAACGAATGTTTTTATGTATGAATCGAATAAAAAATGACTGGAGAAGTTGTCTTAGACGAGAACATTTACAATCTCTACTTCGAATAAGCGAAGAAGGTCCTGAGATTGACAAATTTGGACCTGATACTGCTATGGACGAATGGTATAATGAAAAAGTTAGACGATTGTCAGCAAATTTTCATCGTTATCCGGAAAAAAGAAAAAGAAAGTCAGGAAAAACAGACATTGATCTAGCAACAGTTACAATATCAGATTTGGAAGAAAGTGAGAGCGAGGAAGAATACTGTGACAACTTTTAATTTTATTTTAGCACATTGTAACCCCTTAAAATTAAAATATCAAATAACAACTTTAAATAGCGTATGATTTTTAGCTTCGTAAAAATACTTTTACGTTAGTAAAAATCCTGAAAAATTCTAAGCATTAAACTAGCGATATTATTACAAAACGATAAAAATATTTACGATTACATTCAAATACTTTTTCTATTAACAATCAAAAAAAGTATTAGATCATAAAAGATTCTATTAATTAGACATATTTTTTTCTTTCGCTTTATTTTATTGAATGAAAAAAGTGAACGCTAACTTTTATTAAAAAATGCATTGAATGAAAAAGCAATAGATAAAAGTATCATCGGAATTTGATAAGATTACTTAGATAAGAAAACTGACTTAATAAGAATTTAATTATCATTCTTGTTTGTTGCGCAGGTTTTTATCAAAATGTTTTTAACATTTTATCTCAATAATGTTTTGGTCATTTTTAATAGTTTTTTATAACTGTTTCAAAATTAGAGTTTTAAATAATTTTTTTTTACTGTTAAAAATTTATAGAAAATTAAATATTCTAGTTGTTTTTAACAGTTTAAAATATGTAAATAAAATAGAAGATGAAATAATTAATTAAAAGAAGGTTAGGAATATCAAGCTCATTGATTTTACAAAAATACAGCCGTTAGATTTAATGCAATATGATAATAGTAATAATGTAAACCATAGCTAAAGCTATTTTACAACCGCTAACCGTATATATATATATATATATATATATATATATATATATATATATATATATATATATATATATATATATATATATATATATATATCATCAAATAGAGTGTGGAAAAAGAGATATGCAAACCACAAGCAATCATTTACAAATACAAAATTTTCAAATGCAATAAATATATATATATAATATATATATATATATATATATATATATATATATATATATATATATATATATATACATATATATATATATATACATACATATACATATACATATATATATATATATATATATATATATATACATATATATATATATATACATACATATACATATACATATATATATATATATATATATATATATATATATATATATATATATATATATATATATATATATACATATATATATATATATATATATATATATATATATATATATATATATATATATATATATATATATATATATTCGGGGTGTAGTGATAAGGCAAGTATTGTCTTCTTTTAACCCCGGTCATGTAGATCTTATTTATATTACACGCCATTGTATTCTTTTTTTTTACTGACAAAATATATAAAATATATATATATATATATATATATATATATATATATATATTAATATATATTTGTCTTTTATATAGTTGGAGGTGTTTTATTCACTGTATTAGCTCAACTGTAATTTACTATATGTGTAAGTTTGTTACTTATCTAAACTTCTGACGCAATGTTCACTCACTCATAAGTTACTATATATGCTAGTGT